AAGTAAGTAAGGAAGGAAGGAAGGAAGGAAGGAAGGAAGAGGAGGAAGGAAGAGGAGGAACGTAATCTTGGAATAGTAAAGTTTGTATCTACCTTGCCCAGGAAAAGCGGAATATTTCTACATGTTTCACTGGGAAGAATTCAAATGTGGCTCACTTGATGAATAAAAATTTTAAAATATTTACTCTTTAATGTATTTTGTGGAAGGCAATACAATAGAAAGACAACTGGATTTTACCTTCCTGTATCAAATCTTTCCAGATTTTGAAGCAAATGAGGAAAATGTTTGTTGTTTATCCATCCAGAATTTACCTGGTTCTATACTTAGAAATATTTCACAGAATAATCAGGACAGGCATGATTTATTGGGAAAATTACTTAAGAATGCAGCTTGGATGGTGTTCTGATACCTAGGGGAAAGATAATACATGAAGTTATCATAGCTGTTTGCAAACAGCAGCCTGGTTTGAGTTGGACTGATACTGACAACTTTTCATTTTTAGTCACATTTGGAGACTTGCTAATCATAGTTAATATTTTCTAATGCTTTTGAAGCACAATAGTATGTCTTTTACCTGGATTCATTCACAAGAATCTTATGTGTTAGCTAGTATTATAATCCTCATTTTACAAATGAGAATAAAAGAATTAAAGAGATTAAATAACTAAACTCAGTTCATGTAGCTAAGAGACAAAAAAAAAATAGGCTTTAAATTCAGACAATCAAATTCCAGAACCCATTGTGGTCAACCACAACATTTGCCACCCTTAAATCCAGATCATGTTGGTGCCACATTTTATTTAAGAATGTATCCATCTTTAAAGTTAGATTATAAATATCTGTTCATTTTGTGCAAAACATGCCTTTTTCAACTGACAGCAAAGATGTGAAAAAAATAAAACAGAGGATAATTTGAAAGTAATTTACATTAGACTTTTTAAAAATTTGTGATAAAATACATATAGCATAAAATTTACCATTTTAACAGTTTTTAAGTTTACAGCTTGGTAGTATTAGGTACATTCACATTGTTGTACGACCGTCACCAATATCCATCCCTTTGCACGGCATTTGATTTTAAAACACATTTATCCATTCACTCAGCAATCTCTACTGAAGAAGTTGGACCTCTGCTCTGATGCAGGCACTGTGCAAAGCCTGACTCAGTGTACATTTTCAAATTCCCCTTGCAAGACCAGCCCAGTCTGGTGAGCCCTGTTCTGTGTAGTCTGGCCCTCAGAACCAGTAATTTATTGAAAGGGCAGAGAAGGGGTGAGGCCTTGATACTGTTAAAGAACAGGCCCTGGGCCATCCAGTGTCATCCTTCATATAGTGGAAAGGGCGTGAAAACTAAAGCTGCGGTTGCATCGTCTTTTTTCTACATGTCTGTGGGATCTTGGGCATGTTTCCTAGCCTCTTTCAGGCTCCAAGTCTTCATCTGTAAAATGGGAACCATTTTTACTTTATTGTGTCAAGAAAATGAGAGAGAATACAAAAATAATTGGTGACGAGAAAAGTAAATATTAGTAATTCTCCTGCCACCTTTATGGAGAGATCTTGAAACTGGAAGAAGTTTCCTTTTGCTAGCTTTTACCATGCTTAAACATAGTATAGTATTGAGAGACAGATACGTGGGTATGCATGTATACATGTGTATCCAAGCATTCATATGTGCATGTGTCCCTAAGTGCACTTGTGAGTGTGTGTATGTGTGTATTGGGAGGGAGGAGGCAGGGAATGTGGAACTAAATTACAGTGTGTTCAAAAGAGAGAAGAAAATGAGGCTCCAGGGACAGGGGACTGTAGCCAGGAGAGATTCAGAGTCCTTGAGGGAGAAGGGAAGAGAGTGGTGAATAGGGATTTGAGCCATGAAATACTGTACACTGTGTGCTGTAAAATTGCACTTCTCCTCTCCCTGTGACAACTTCAGCCTACATTGTTCTGCAATATTTGAATTTTCTCTCTCTAGTTTTGAAGGTACAGGCTAGGAGATGATGTAATAAGGGATGTAATACTGAATCCTACTTCCCTGTTGCCTACTGAAGGAACCTGGTAGCTTACCAACACAGCCTTATGTAAAGTATCTCACACATCATAAATACATATGTTGCCAGCCACTATCTATGTGTGAATGTGTGTGTATCAACACACACTAAAAATTATTTTGAAATTCTACACATGCCCCATGCACAGGCCTCAGGGCTGAAAGGTATCATTGTGCTTATGAGAAATTTCTGAGAATGAAAGACTTCACACCACAAAGTACACAGCTTAAAATTTTTAGAAAGGAGAAACACAGATGTAGTGAGGACAGGGGAAACATAGCCCAGTAACTGAGTAGTAGACAGACCCTTTCTGGGAGGGCACATTGCCCTCTGCCAATCAAGCCGGAATCATTCTTCCAAGAAAATGACCAAGAACAATACCTTCTCTAAAAACATCAGGAACAAACCTTCTCCCAAAGACCAAAGGGGAGTGGAGGAAATCTTCACACGTCTGGAGCCCTTGCCGGGAGGGTGGAGGATGCCAGGACTGTGCCAGATTTACTCTCTCCACATGCTCCTGCAGGCCCCTGTCAGCTGAGGGCCCCTTTTCTTCCTAATTTTTTTCCCAGGCAATAAGACAAATCCTTGCTAGTGAGGTACCATGTGCTCTACAGAATGTTCCATCAGATGAGCTGCAGTCAGCCTCAAGCCAGTATGGTGAGATTCTCCTTTCAAGTTCCACAAAGGTACCATCTTTGTGTCATAGATATAAAAGAAATAATTTTTCTATTTGTGGAACATGAATTTTTCAGAATCAGAGCTTTCAGAGTTCTCTTTTGTTTCATTTCATACAACAAATTGTTAAAAATACCAAGTCAGTCATTGTTGTGCACATTGTGGATAGTCTGAGGTAGGAGAATCCCTGGAGTCTGAGAGTTCAAAGTTACATTCAGTTATGATCACACTGCTGTACTCTAGCCTGGGTTAACAGAGTTAGACCCCATCTCAAAAACAAAACAAAACAAAAAAAACCAAACAACAACAGCAACAAAACAGAGAGAGAGAGAAGAGAAGAGAAGAGAAGAGAAGAGAAGAGAAGAGAAGAGAAGAGAAGAGAAGAGAAGAGAAGAAAGATGTAAATTAATGATGCTAACTTTTCTTAAACATAAGGAAGCACTATATATCACTTATAATGTAGGTATGGGTCAGGGACAGAGAGGAGATGGAAGAGAAGGGAGAGAAACACAAGTTAAACTTATTCTAGATTTCTTCAAGTGGGCTAAAGAAATCTCACTTAAGTCTGACAGCAGCATATTGCTAGGTATAATGTGGGTACTAATTTTGAAATAGTTTCTGATGGCTCTTCCCCTATTGTGAGATCACTTTTCTTTCTGCGCATTTTGCCTGCCATCATGACCCTGGGAAAAAGTCCACGTGAATGTCACTTTCAGACGGAAATAACACATAAGTGAATCCACTGCCACACAGGGACAGCCCACATTTTCTGCCCCAGTATGTAGAGGAGGAAGGAGGGAAGAGGAAATGGGCAAAGACATCAGGTACCAGTATCCCGGTTTCTGCCCAGTCTTTCAGGGTCAAAGCCATGTGATGATGAAAAGCAAGGAAACTGGACATGGGTCAGATACAAGGCTTCCCTTTTACTATTTCCTTCTGGAAACAACATTCACCTGGACCCTTCCCCAGGGTCATAATAGAAGGGTATAGGACTTTGCAACTGGAGACAATGGTGGGTTTAAACCTTCAGCTGGAGATACCTCCAAAGGTTGGATGAAACAGGCCTCGCATCAACAGACACAGGAGGGGTAAGGGCTCACCTAGGGTCAGTCACTCCACAATAGAGGATAACAAGGATCTAGGGGACACCGTGCAGATCCAGGGTCCTCTTCCCAGTCACCAAGGCACTATCTGTGTGGACTGGTGTGAGGGAGGATAACAGACCTACAAAAGCCAAGTGCGGTGGTTCATGCCTGTAATACCTGCACTTTGGAAAGCTAAGGGAGAATCATTTGAGCCCGGGAGTTTGAAGTTGCAGTGAGCTGAGATATCATGCCACTGCACTCCAGCCTGGGCTACAGAGTGAGACTCTGTCACTAAAAACAAAACAACAACAACAACAACAAAAACCTAAAAATACTGCTTAAGTCAGACTAGATTGAGATGTCTGTTAATGGCAGGTTTTTGTTGCCAACCAGTAAATGGAAGACTGTAAATGAGTGTGGTCTTAAGGAAGAGGAGATGAGTTGTAGTAAAGAAAGAACTGCAATTTTGGATATTATTCTCTCTTTATACCTAGGTCCAGAGAGGTTGGGAGGAGCTGGGATGCAAAACAATCATCTGACTCCTATATAACACTCAGTATAATTCTTTTAAAAAGCAGGTGAGAGTGTAAATGTGTTTAGAAAATTTTTTATCTAAAGTCACAATAGGTTTAGTCCCTGAAATGTAGAATCTGAGCTATGTGTTCAACTTGGGTTTCCAGAACATCTCATTAGCCAGGTATCCGGAACAGGCACAATAAATAGTAAGAGACTTTTATTTCATTTATTTACTCTTCTTCCTCTCTGAAATAGGTATAGTATACTTTTCTAAGATTCAAATTATTCTTTTATTTTTAGCTATCACTTGAATTCTCTTTTCTAATAAAATGGAATTTAAAATATTTTATTTCCTGGGAGCATAGATACTCTTCCTTCCCCTTTACCTACCTTGCTGCTTTTAATGCCATCCTTTCCCTTGCAAAATTAATTCTCACAGAGTTGTCGTGAGGATCACACAAGTGCTCAGAATACACAAAAAACAGGACTTGGCAAATAGCAAAAAAAAAACACACAAAAAAACCCAGTTTTTTCTTTTATGAAGACGTCTTCAATTATGAGTCAGCCAATTATGAATGACTTACTATTAATAATAAATCAATCTGAATTATAAAAGTAGACATTTGTTCCTCCACTACTTTATTACCCACTGCCCAGCATGCAATAAAATAACCCAGAATAGAATTCTGAATTTTATTAGAGAATATATCTAAAATACAATATTTATTAAGTTATGATATATTATTTGAATGGAAATATACTCTGTATCACAACTATAACAATTTTTACAGATAATACTTCATTTACATCTCTGTAATTCAAAAGTCACTAAATTACAACATAATTCATATTTAAGATAACTTTGCTATAAATATATAAGAATTTTAAAAGCTTTTCTTTCACATAACATCTTGGAATTACGGACATTTATTTTATCTGACTTACATTACATAGAATGATGACTACCTGATTTGCCTTAAGTAGCTCAGTTTATCTTATGAAGTAAATTTGAATTCTACTTTCCTATGTTTTAAAAATAGTATTTTAGTGAACAATTGTGAGTGCTCGTCACTCTACAGGCTGTGAACAAAGTCAAAGTACTTTATTCCTATTTCTTACACTATATTCTCTGTTACAGAAAGACTACTACCTTAAGCAAAGCACCAACCAGCCACAGTAATTCTGTCAAGCATGACAATTGGTCTACTTCTTCACCTTTTATTAGTACACATGCCAGGTGAGAGATGGAGGGTCTAGAAAACCAGACACAAAGCAGCCGGGGTCCAAATCATCAAGGCAGATTTGTGCTTAGCTAAAGGGAAACACCCAAAGATTCATTATCTGGATACAGGGTTATGGGACCATTTTATTTGAAGGAGGCTCTGATTTGCCTGTTCTTCAGTGGCTGAGCTGGACGCCAGTTGTCTACCATGAGTTCTTCAGGTTCACCCTCCCCATTGAAGTTAAGTTTACGGAATTTCAACATCTAAAAGACAATAAAAAATTAAAGTCTCACAATAGAATTCATTAATGTGCTTGTGTTATTTCTTCAAATACATTCCCCGATATTCACAGTGCCATGTATCAATGCCTAAAATTCAATTTTATTCCTAATAAACATATAATCACATGTATATTACATACGTATGCTTTCATATAGCAAACTAATTTGTATAAGACATACAAAGATGCTGGTGTCATCTTTGCAGGAAATTTTCAGTGAGCTTCTAATTTCAAAATCATACATCAAAAGTCTATATGTTTGTACCACTAAGGTGAAAATAATAACAATCCTAGTTCCAAATTAAAGTTTTACTTTCTGCCCCAGGTAAGACAAACTACAGCATCTGTACAATTAGCTCCATTGGCCAGGACCTATAAGCTCCATGGGCTGATGAATGAGCTGTTTAAATATAAAGAAACTTCGGAATGAATTTTCCCAAGCTGGGATTTTAAACTCTTGTCACTGATGGATTTCTATTCCCTTGTAAATGTGTTTCTGTTTCCTGGCCCACACTGAGATGTGAACAGCCCTTAAGCAGTCTTCCATTTCTTCAAAGTTCTCAAAAAGTAAGAACTTCCTTCCCTCTGAGAAATACTTGATCTAATAAAAAAGGGTGGTTTGGATAGTAAAATGGCAGCCCACGAATCAACAGCCTTTAACCTGATCTTTCTTGTTTAGTAATAGTCCCTCATCAATCCCACAAAGTCAACTTCCATACACGTGTATTGTGAGTATACACAGCCAGTTGTTACTGTAATGCAAATAAACTTTCTAAGGACTTCTCAGGTTGATTCATTACAACAGAATCCCAGTAATCTGTTTATAAAGTACAATCAGATAAAACTTTTTGATCAAACCAGTATGATTGATTTATCCTCCCTATTCCACCAATTGAATTGCATTCTCACATTGGTCAACGTGACTCATTATTTTAGCATCACATAGACAAAGCCTGAGTATAGAAAATAAAGGTAGTTGAATTAGCAGATCCATTTATATTGCTTATCTAATATCCATCCCCCCCCATACTTTCTTGTTAACAGACATCTGTCTTCCCCCTTTAAGCCTCAGGAGGGTAAATCTGTAGGTCTTAACTAATTATGGTGATCACTGAGCAGGAAACACAATTCTGGTCAGTGAGATGGAAAGGTTTGCTAGAGGTCTTTAGGGAAAAGCTTCTCCGCTCCTAGGGAACCAATGGAAGAGGTGTTCATTTCTTCCTCAAGAGGTGGGTGTTATCTAAATGTGATTCTCAAAATGCTATTGCAACCTCCTTGATGATGAAATTGTCATTGGGCAAGGTGAAGTCAAGAGAATCACACAGAGAACCAGCAAGAGCTCTGGTTTCCTGAGCTGAGCACAACTCTACCTCCAGACTCCATGTCATAAGATATGAAAAACAGCCCTATTAGTATTTTGCCAATATATGCAATAAAGGGCAAATTCAGGGTACAGAGACTGAGTAGGTTCAATTGCCGTTACCTATATGGTATTTCTGCTTATGGGTGTGTGTGTACATAATAAATTCATTTGTCATAACAGCTCCAAATGTCAGACTCAAACTGGATTGTTCCCAGTGAAGGAAGAAAGAGATCTTTCATGTTTGAAATTATAATGCAAACACCACATCTACAAATAAGAAGAGTCATTATACTCCTTCCTTATGCCACTACTTCAAGACACTTGCTTGCTAACATATGTTTTGACTACAAGGTCAATTTTCAAGTCACATATCTATTAATCATATTTTTTGGCCCACTTTGATGCACTACAAGTAATTTTCCAGTTAGATATGAATTTCCTGTAGAGAAAGATGTGAAGTAGTTTGAGCACTCCTAGATTAATATTCTAAAGGAGAACACAGGACTAGAATCCTTGCTCCCAGACCTGATTCTGCCACAAGGAAGCTGAGTGGAAAGCACTTCAATTTGCCTGCACCTCAGCTTGTTTATCAACATAATTCTAGCCAGTGAAATGGGAAGGTTGACAACATGATCTCTATTGCATGTTGCATCTCTAAATGTCCAAATTCTTATAGGTTTAAATAACACTATCACTACACACATAGTTATCATTTTCAATACTGTTGGCTGCTGACTTTCTCCTTAATCAGGATTCAACCTCTTGTGAAATCTGTCCATTTTCTACATTCTAACAGTGCACTAAGAGATAGTTTAGAAAAAATTCTTTTGCCTCCACTTCTGTGAATACTCATCAGTGACTTAGAAGCTGCATTAATCACTTGAACATCACAAACTACATTGTTTTAGAAATGTGAGAATATCTGGCCTAAGCCTCTAAAGCAACCTGCAGTGAATTTTAATAGATCCTCATTCTCCAAGTAAGGATTCTCACCTGTGTCAGGATTTAGAAATGCTTTCTGACATAAATAAAACTGAAGAAAGCTCTTAAGGGTACCCGATCTCAAACCAGGCAAAGTGGAGACAAAAGAGAGGCCCAAACTTTGCCTGTATAATGACTTGTATACCTAATTCTGAATTGTACCCCACATCTTTAAATAAAATAAAGACCCGCCTGGGCAACTTGGCGAGACCTCATCTCTACAATAAATCAAAAAATTAGCCGGGCGTGGTAGCGCACGCCTGTAGTTCCAGCTACTTGGAAGGCTGAGGCAGAAGGATCGCCGGAGCCCAGCAGTTGAGGCTGCAGTGGCCGGGAGCGGCCACTGTACTCCAGTCTGAGAGACAGAGTGAGACTCCAACTCAAAATAAATAAAGAAAGAAATAAAGAAAATTTAAAAAAATAAAAGAAATCTCTTATGTGAGTGAGCGGTAGGCTGATACCTATATAAGCTTGAATATGACATCTCATTTTTCAGAGCCTCAGTTTCCTCATAAAAGCATTTATTAGGTGACAGACACCTTTCTCACTGTAACCTCACAACAACTATTCAATTTTACAGACCGAACAAACTGGTTATGGTTAATAGTAGCAAATATTTACTGATCAGGTGCTGTGTATTTGCTAAGCACTGTCATAGGCACTAGTTCCACAGCTAGAAGCAGCAGGGGGATTAAACTTCAAACCTGTCTGACTCCAAAAGCCAAGCTCATCTGCCTTGACTAAATGTTCCACCCCTTTAAACAGACTTCTCCTTAGAAAACTGACCTGCTCACTGCTGACGCTGATGGGTTCCTTGAGCACAATCCAAGTCACACATTCCAGAAGAGGAGGGGTGGTCAAGGAGCCCGGGTAGGTCCAGTAGTCCAAGCTTTCAGGAAGGAGGCCACGAGGATCAAAGCTAGTGAAGTCAGCGCTCTTACCCTGAAACAAGGCAAAGACACAGGTTAACACTGTATAATGTCAACAAAGTGGGAGTGAGGTAGGAACATACAAGACACAAATAAGTATATTTCCCTCTGATAGCCAGAAAAGTTTTTTTTTTTTTTTTTAAGAGAAGTTCTATCTTCAGTGACAAACAAAATGAAAAAAAATTAACAGTGGACATCTGACTTGGAATTATAGATTGGCAGGTGTAAGCAAGAAAAACTGATTATTATCTTCATGTCTATTTTTCATCTTATCCCTTAACATAACCCCTTAGACTTTCCATTAAGTCACAAACCGGTCACACCCAGTATTTAAAGTGAGACTGCTGCCACTGAAATGATGCAAGTTTAGGTTGCAATAACAGAATTAGAATATTTTTGATGAGGAGTTGATTTTCTTCCTATCTTATTTGATGACTAGTTCAGAACTAAAAAGCTGCATTCAGTTCTGGATGCTACACTTTGAGAGCAAACAGGAACAATTTACTGGAAAAGTGACAAAGCCACTGCAAAGAGAGAACTATGTCATATGAAAATAGTTAAAGAAAACTAAAGATAATTAGCTTGGGGTAGATGAAGAGCCAGAAAGAGTAGAGTTATGTGGAATAGAAATCAGATTTATTCTACATAATTCAAGGGGAGCAAGCCAGAAGTAAAGAGTGAGAATTTCAGAAGATAGATGTTACTTCAATTTGAGGATCAGCTTTATAAAGCCAAAGTTGCCACTGGTGATGAGTTCCACATCACTGCAAGTGACTGTCATGTTTAAGCAGATATTCAATGACCTCGATACAGCTATGCCTATGCCATAGAGAAGATTTAAAAACAGGGTGGATGAATTCAAAGAGGTCAAAGAATATAAATCTCCATGAAACAGGGCCTCGTTTCTCTTGTTCATTATTGTATCTCCCAGGTCAGCAAAGCAATTGGCATGTAGTAAGTACTCAACAAACACTAGCTGTATGAATAACTCATTTGATCAGATGATCTTTCAACCTCCTTGTAGTCATGAGAATCTCTGATTTTACATATAGATGTTCAAATAATGGGAAACAAGATCAAGTAAATAAAAGTCTTAGGATTATGGCAGCATTAGGCTCAGCTTTTGGAGAATAAAAACTTAATTAAATATATAAGCAATATTCTACCTTTAATAACTGCTCATCCAAATACCATGTCATCAAGACTGTTCAATTTGATCAAAATAAATTTCTGAAACCAATGAAATATTGAAAGTAGGTACCCTAATGAGGTGAAAGAAAATTTAATTTTACCTTTGTTTTAATAGAATCCAGCACATCAACGACTTTCTGAAGTCCTGGTTTAGCACTGCCAACCTGTAGAAAAACACGAGGGACATGATATTGTAAGCCAGTTGGTACTAGACCGGTTTTGATTTGGGTAGCTCTATCACAAAATTTCTCCAAACAGTGAACCTAAATCCATCAGTTTATACAAGTCATCCATCAGTATCAGTTTACATAAGTTACTCTTCAGTCTTAGTTTGATGACATTGACACCATAGACCCCTCCGCCAACTTTCACTGACTCTTCAAGCTGCCTCTGCTGCCCCAAGAGTCCTCCTGAAACCACCTTCTCAAATGTCCCCAGTGGCCTCCAACAGCCAAAATAAAGAATATTCTTCAAGTGCTGACCTTACTTTAATTTGCTTGCATGACTTTATACTACTGTCTTTACTTTGTTTTTTAAAGTTCCCTCCTCTTTTGGTTGTCCCTAAGCCCTCCAGACTTTCAAATTCCTGTATTCCTTTTTAGTCACTTACACATATTTTTCCCTGCCTTAAAGGCCTTGTATTCTGCAGTTTCTCAGCGTTACACCCTGAGCAGATTCCTTCTCTTCCTCTTCATGCTGTCCTTGGATGAGTTCACAGACATCTATGGCTTCCACCTCAAAATATGAATCAGGGCTCATAAATCTCCAGCCCAGACCTTTCTCCACTCTCCTTTGCAACTGTCTAGACAGCAGTGCAACCTGCTACATCCTACAGTTGCCTGAAGTTCCCTAGTACCAAGCTACTATCCTTCCCCGCTCTAGAACTTGATCTTACTTTAGCATTGTTTATCATGAAATAGTACTGTCTAGCTTCAGGTTAAATGAAAACAAAACAAAACAAATACTTAGCAGTCATCTGAAGTTTACTTCTTTGTGTTCTTCACATTCATATATCTAAATAATACCAAATCAATACTTCTCGAGTTGTCTTTTTATCCTCCAACTCTACTACTACCAGCACATATAAAGGGGAAATACTTCAGAGCCAAAAGCATTTCCTGGCCTCTTTTGTAGAATGTCCTGTTTGTTATGAATGTTCTGTCTGGTTGATCTTTCTTAAATACAGGAAGAAAGAATTAGGCCACCGACTAACCTTCAAAAAAACACCCAGAACAGCCAGTCCATCAGGATGCTGTGCAGCTTTTCCAAAATCCGCATATTTGGTGTTCCAGTGAACCAAGTGAAGCTAAAGCCGTAGGAGACAAGGTACAAGGGATGACTCACAATAAAAAATGACAGGTTTTATCCAGTGACCTAATTCTCATAACCAAAGGTTACTAAGTAAGGTAAAAATGTGAATAATTGGAAATAAAAATGTTCCTTTTATTTTAATTCTAATTCTAATCCACTTCAGTCCTTGGTACAATAGCAAGTGATCTTATTAACAACCACTGAGACAAAGAAAGAGAGAGGCACACATTTTCTTTTTAGATTTATCTTACAACAACGTTCTCCAATTTGAATGTGTTTACTTTTTGTGAATGGAATCCTTAGAGAGAGAAAGTTTTGTAGCCGTAAGTGTAATGTCACAACTAAACATTATAAAAGGCAACTGTGATGGTCCTTTGTAAAAGAAGTGGCGGGAGTTGAACTTGGTAGGAGTTGAACTTACAGAATGAAGCTTTCAAAATTAATGCTACATATCAATTCACAAACATTTTTTTCCCTGGAAAGGAAAAAAGCTTATCTTACCTCTGCAGCATATTTCTTTTTATCCACAGTGTGCTCAGAGCCTTGTCCATCAAGTGAACCCCAGTGAAAGTGAAACTGAATCAGTCTGTAAGTGCCTTCGAGGGGTCCTCCTTTGAGCACTAAAATTTAAAAATATATATGTATTATATCTGTATGTATATGCATACACACATATGCATACATATATGCACACATAAACACACACTCATACATATACACACTGCACATGAAACACACACACTACTGAATATCGTCATTTTTAAGCCTATTTTATAGTGCTCAATGTTTGCCTTTGGCCCCAGTTCACCCTGAAAACTTTAATACAGAGTCAGCCTTAGTCTACAGTGCCAAACAAAATCATTTCATCTGGTTTTATTCCTCACACGTGTTGGCTGAAAGATGGATGTTTTACTCATCTTTGTTTTCTGAGCACGGTGCTACCTCTCTTTTGGGTTTGTTTTGGAGTCATAGGCTCAGGTTCAGAGAAAGGAAATTTTAAGTGAAACTAATTAATCTGGAAATTCTTTAGGAAGGCCCATGCAGTAACTAGCCAGTGTCTGGCCTCCTGCACACACTTGCAAATGTGGGCTCATTTCTACCATGGTCCAGTCCCTGCCCTACAGCCTGCTTTGCTAACCTCTGATACCAACTCTTACATACAAAAATTTACTAAATAATTAGAAGTTCGCTGATATCAACGTTATAAAATCCAATTGTCCTTACATAGGCTTCCCAAAGTCTTTAAAGTTTGGATTGTTACTGCTACTAATTAGCTTTGTTTGTCCCCTTAAACATTTTTATATAAGCTCTTTGATTTTAATCTCTTCATTTGTAAAATGGATGCATTAAATTATTTATTACTCCACTAATAATTTATGAATCATCTTCTATATGTGAGGTAAAGTGCTCTATTTTCTTCAGGAACTTAAAATTACAACTTTAATAACTTTCCCATGATTCTACTATTTTCATATTAATGTCACTTAATTTAGTACAATAAGTACTAGATACCACATTCTTAAACTAAAAATCGATCTGTAGATAATTAATGAGTTTTGTCTTGAGAGAAGATTAAAATAGTTCGAAACCGCTGTTTCTTCCACCTTTCCCAAAAATGTTTTACCTAATTTATATGTATTAAAGGGACTTAACCAATATGTTTTCAAGTTTTAAAAAGTAGTTTAGTTCTACAGTTTAATTTTTCTGGTACTGGGATTAAAACATCTGTTGCCATAAATGTAGTTTTTTTATAAACTGCAAAGCTTATTAACTTTGCTTTTTAATTTCTCAAAATAATAAGCCCCAAATTACTTTAGCTTTGCAGAGCAAAGGGACAAGTTCTCTATGATAAGGCTTGTTCCCTTAACTTCACCTAAATATGCTTACATGGTAGCAACACCCATTCATCAATTCAAAATTAAAGATAAGACTGCCTGGAAGATATTTAAGCAGTAAGTTCTTTCTATGGCTCCTGATACAACCTCTGGCTGCCAGATCTGCCTTACAATAGGCCAGAACTAAAAAAAAAAAAAAAAAAAAGAAGAAGACAAAAACAGAATTAACAAATTATAAATGATGTTATAGATCTGTTAAGAAACATGAATTTGATTGTATTCTGATAAAATGTCATCCCTTAAGCACAAAAACAATTTACTATAAAGATCAACTTTTATCTGAATTCTACAAGGATAAAATTAGTCTTAGCCCTCAATACTCGGCTTTTCTTTAAAATAAAAATGTTTCTATTTTTTCATAGTAATATGCCCTTAAAATAAAATACAAGTTTATAAAATAAGTTGATCCTAAAAAATATTTATTTATAATAACCCTTTAAAGCTGGTTACCAACTGGATGATTATAAAAAGCAAATACTTTATAACATCAATTCTACCAAGTGGTAAAATGAATGAAACAAAACCATATTAAGCATCTAAGATAACTCATTTTCTAAGTGTATCTCCTTCTCCCCTTGAAGAGTCACAAAGGATTTTACATTTTAAGGAGGATAAAGTTTATTGTTATCTCTTATTCTTATTCTCTCTTTTGCAAACCTTGTAAGTCCATCTTATTTACGTGTTTCAGAGAACATTTGGAATTAGGTGAGAATGTGTATGAACATTTATTAAACAAGGCTTGCTGACACTGAAAAATAAAAAAAGAAAGAAAGTGCTTTGGGTTCAATGATTAATCACCTTCAGTGCTCATCTATTATCACCAGATACCTGTTTTAGTACCTGTTAAAATAAAACTCGTTCCTATGAAGATTAGAAACACATTGTAATTAGGAAAAGTTATTAAATCCTTAAAGTTTAATTGCTACAGAAGCAACATCTCTGGCCTTCTTTAGCTGATTATTTTTCAGCTAATTCTTAGCATGGAGTTTTGTTGAAGTTTCTCGAAATCATTATTATAATAATAAATGGCCATGAGCTCTAATAAAGGTAGCATACATCTTTTTATTTACAAAACAGAAAAGATGTTTTGGTTTAAGAGGAGTCTATGCTATATTCTGGATCTATTTATTTACTTACTTATTTTAATTAACGTATGCCATTCTCTAACTTGTTCCAGTTTAAAATAAAACCTGTTTTCTACTCCAAAAATATTTTTTAAAAATAGCAGAAACTGCTGACTGCATATTTTTCCTCTGTAAAATCCAGCCATGGTAGTGGTATTCTCGAGTCAATGATTCAATGTACCAAAGAAACATGTCCCATAAGGGATAAAGATACTCTAATTTTTTTTCAAGACTTCTAAAATTTAACTTAAATTCGAATCTCAACAACAAGAGATCCGGCCAATTTTAATGTTTATGATCTGTCATCAGTTGCACATACTGTATATCTCACACAAGATAAGCACCAAGTATAACATTATAGAAAATCTGTCTTCCTATACATATTACTTGGGGATATTTGTAATTATTTTTCTTTTTTTTACAAAAAATAAGAGACCTAGTACTGTTGACATAAACCAGACTACTTATACAAATTAAGAATTAAAAATTTAACATTTTTTATTTTTTTTCCTAATTTCTTACTATCACTACTTAACTGAGATGCATTGGAATAACAAGTTAAAGACCTTAGTGAATGTGGATAATCTCTCTCAAATTCAAAATACAAATAAACTATTCCCATAACCTGTAGTTTAAAACTAAAATGTAAGTGATTTCCTACTAATGAAGCAAACAAATAATTTGACAGAAAACATAGCATTTCCAGGAGCTGAACCATCTTTTCTATAAATAATCTTAAAATGTTTTAATCGTGTAAGACTGTTTTGCTTGTTGGCAGTAGCCAATAATCCTAGGGCTGCACGTCAATGTAGACAAATCTGAAAAAAAAAATGTCCATATTTCATCTCTTTTAAAGCAGTAAGATGTTTTGCCGTTACTTTCACTAGAGTAGACACAGTCAACATTCAAGAGAACAGACGTTGTAGTTTAAGCTACATGGCAGTTATACAGGAGTGAAAAAAAGCAGCTCTTTTGGCGTGAACATAATTAACCAGTGTTTAGATGCTTTGGTCAGTTTTCTAGATATTTAGGGTTCTGCTGACACCATTAACCATGTGCATGACAAGCCCTTTCACTGGCCGTTATTATGCTTTCTTTTAATTTAATGACTCTCATAGAAGGAAAATTTTAGAGCTTCAAAAGTAAGTCCCTGAAAGTCAAGCAAAACCCATATAGAAGACGCCATCACATTATATAAACAATGATCTGCTCAAAATGAACACAGGTAAACTCACTTTGCTTCTTTCTGTTTTCTTAAAATGAATGATTAAAAAAATTTCACTTTCTAAAAATAGAAATTATATGAGAGCTGTGTGTGCGTTTGCCCAATGATCCTGATATTGGCTTTCGATATTTGCCCCAAACATTACAATAAAACAGAAAAGTTTTAAACTCATTAATAAAAGTTAATAAGTTAGCAGAAGTTAATAATTTGACTACTATTCTTTTCTCTCTGTTAAAGCTGTTAATAAAACATCTCAAGCAGAGTTATTTTTTAATAATTTTTTAAAATATAAAAGGATTAGCAATTTTTCATTAATTTAAGGTGATTTTAAGGTGGTTCATTTTTAAAGGAATTTGGAAGATTGATGAGAACTTTAACTCAAGCCTCTAGTTAAAGCCTATTAACTCCACATTTTAAAAAAATTCTTTCAAGCTTAAGCATAACAATAAATTAAACCAGTTCAGTTCTGGATACTCAAGTATTTAAGATTAGGTATAAGAACATTCAAGACATATCAGAAAACCTGAATTTATGAGAAGTTCTAGAATGCTGAAATCTCACTGAGGGGGACATAAAAAGATAAATAAGAGGTATAGGATATCTAAAAATGTTAACACCATCAAAATAACTCCTAATAAAAGGGGCTGTTAAACTCTTTATTTAAAAAAAAATGAAGAGTCCAAAATGAATAAATTATTTTTAGACTTAAGCAAACAGAAAATATATCAGTTTTTTAAAAACATGATATAATCAAACTAAATGTTAACTATGGTTATCATCCGAAGATCTTTATTCAAATTCTATTTTTAAGTGATTACCACTTCGTATCTCCAGCAAACTAGGAAAGAGACAACTTAGCCAGTTATTTAAACTCTTTAGTTTTCTGTCTCTTCATGTTTTTTTAAAGTGGGTTTGACTAGAGTATCTCTACTCTGTTCTAGCTTTAAGAGTCTCGGATTCTTTTTTTTTTAAGTCTAAGGTGTTTTTCCACACGGTATCATTTTTAAAAATTTATTCTGCAAATGTGTTTTCCCTTAATACTGACATTTTAATATATTCTGCATTCATGTTTAACCAATGCAATGCAAAATTACAAAGGAATCTTTCATATGCAAACAAGGTCAAGTCTTTCTACTATTCATCCCTGACCCTTGTTTTTACTATACCTTCTCGCCTTTCTAGAGCACACTCTGTGCTTTCTTAAGTCCCCTGGTGTTTCCTATTTCCTTTTGCCTGGAGTCTCTGACATCAAAATCCTTCAAGCCTCCAATAAGCCTTATTTACCCCGGAAAGCCTTTCCTGACTTACGCAGTTAGACTCCTAAGCCTCCTTCAGATTTCCACAGTTCCTTGGAATACTTCCTTTTTGCATTTATCAAGTGACTGTCAGTGTCTACTATTTCTATGTCATTCTACTTTAGCTACCCCCAGCAAGAGCTCTGGGGACAAGGGAGAGGAACCAGGCCTCTGTCCTGTCTTCATGATGCTTGGCTTATCATGCATTTAACTAGTGTTAGTAATGGCTTGTGTGTGTGCATGTGTGTAAGAGTTAGGTGGATGATATATATGTCTCCAGCCACATGGTTATGAGAGCAGAACAGGATCAGACAGACCTGGATTTGACCCTATAAATCCAGTCTTTTTAAACCCCTGGTTTTGATCAGTTTCACAACCTAAACACTGCCAATTTTTTCTAAGTAATGTGTGCATTACTTACTAGAAGAAATAGTTGGAAATTAATTAACTAGAAGAAATAGTTGGAAATTAATCAATTACTGCTCTTGTAGAAATGCAATAAAGCTTAACATATTCATGGTAAAGTACATAACTACATAATGACTTCATATATAAAATTAGTACATATTTAGTATGATCAATAAGATGTTCTGGAATATAAAAAAATAAAATGTAAAGTACCATCAAGGAACAGGAACTAATCTGAAAACTAATTAAATAAGAAGTTAATCAGAAATCTTATCACAGACGCAATAGCTACAGGAATTGCCTAATGGAGACAGTCAAATGGTACACAGTTGTGACAACAACAGAATCCTTTACTGAGGAATTGCTATGTACCAGGCACTGTGCTAAATGCTTTAGATATACTGTCTCATTTAATCCTTCCGCAGATAGTATTGTTACTCTAATTTTACAGTTAAAGAAAATGAAAGCTTGGAGAAGTTAAGTTACTGTTATTCCCAGAGTAACTGAGTTAGTTGTCAGAAGAGCTGGAATTCAAATCCAGATCGGTCTGACCCCCGTCTACGCTCATAGCCACCAGACTGTATACTCAAAGTCACTTACCAGTAATATATTACAAGAACAATTTATTTCACAATAAATTTTTAAAGGAATATAGAGAATGACTTCAACTGCTTCCATTTATTAGACATTTGTCTTTGTTGTTTCAAAAGAGACTTTAAGCATTCAATTTCTATGTAGCATCTAGTGAGGTATATAATTTGGTGGACATCACATCCATTGAAAGCAATGATATCATTGTGGCTCTTTTAAAAAAGTTGGCAACAATAGACTAAAATAGCTCATTTCTTTTGACTTTTAGGTGAATAAACATGAAATTTTACGTATAATACCTTGAGACCTTTGTCCCTGCCATATTAAAAATATATAGTATTCTTTATGTGAGAAAAAGATTTTTTTAAAATTGAGCTTTTTTGAGTGTTGTTTCTTTGGAGTGGGAGGAATGCTCAGGAAGGCAATGTAACAGAGTTACTGAAAGGTATCTTCAATGTACATTCTCTATTTGATTTTATTGAATCATGATACTATAATGGAATGTGTGTGTGTGTGTGTGAGAGAGAGAGAGAGAGAGAGAGAGAGAGAGAGAGTATGTGTGTGTGTGTGTGCTGGGGAGGGGTGCACACAGGCAGGCACAGGTAGGTTGAAAACATTTCTCAGATGATCTCCACATCATCTGCCATCAAATTGTTGTCCCAAATCACGGTTTCAGAAGGCCAACTGTCCAAAAATTTTAAAAAGTGGGGAGGAAGGAAGAATTTTTTTCAAAACAGAACTGAATATATTGTATAGCTACTGGAAAATAATAGTCAACTAGGCTACATTGATTATAATTACATATAATATATTGGTATGACAGGTCATGACTCCAGAACTTTGACAGCGCTATTGAATGTTTCCACTATCTCTTCTCATTTTTCTCCAGCACTCCCCACCCTCCCACACCACCACCAAATAGAATGTGTTTGCAGCACCATTTCACTCAATGACCTTCAGAGGCAAGCACTCAGGAAAATAGGGCACTGGCAATTAAACCAACCAGTGAGCAAAGAAGGCAGCTACTCTGTCTGAATGGGATTGTTCTTCTGTTCAAATAAGAAAAAAAGCAGCATTCAGTGGGCAGCCTGTAAACAACTCTGCTACAAATAAATAAGGGTAATTGGTTTTGTCAGGAACGGGCCAGGTATGTCCACCAATCCTAAAGCATCTTCGTTTGTGGAATAAGCTTTTGGGTAGATACCAAAATATGCTGCCACCTTGATCACACTAGCCCAATACCAAGAACTATTCATAAATACAATATTTTCCACAAATTTCAGTATTTTAAATTGTCACATTTTCATCACTCTGCTCATTATGTTGAAGATAATGCTCACTAAGACACATCTTTCAACGATAGGCATCAACTCTGGAAGAAGGAATCCTGAAAGTTCACTTTGTGCAAATCTCATCTTGGCCGATCTTCATTCCAAGGACATTGCCTTTTGTGACTTTTCAGGGAGAAACAGCCCCAGGACACTTCAAAGTAATTAGCCTACTTCTCAGAGTCTGGGACCTAATGAAGATGATCAGAGTGGCATCCTAGAGTACTGAGACACACTGTACTATTAAAGGGTTTCCTTCCTCTGCTCCTGACTTTTTCCACTAAGCAGGCAAAACAGCTACTGGCTAAAAGGCACAAGTTATTTTTTAAACACTGACCTGCTTTGTCCTGGGAGTCATCAAACTCCACGTTGAAAGAGTGACCATTGTTGATGATCCTCCGGGAAGTCGCTTGATCATAGGAAACCGACAGCGGCTTCAGGGAAGGGTCGTGCTTAGCTGCATTGGTGTCGATGTCTACAGGGGACTGGCGCTCTCCCTTGGCAACGGGGAAGTTCTTGTGCCAGTGTTCAGGTCCTGGGGGCAAGAAGACACATGTGACTCTCTCAATGTGGGGAAGGGTACACCCAGACCCCTATAAAAAGGCAATGATTCTGGAGCCGAGCCACTTAGCAGAGTAACTTCTGGAAAAACAATCTGTGCCTCAGTTTCCACATTCGTAACATGGAATAATTGCAATATTCACCTTATAGATGTTGTTGCCAGAATTAGAATTGATCTATGTAACGCTCTTAGAACAGTGAGTGTCACACACATAGCTATTTTTATGGTCGTTTCACTGAAATTCAGCAAGTGAATTTGGGCAGACACTAACGTCAGGGTTTGTGGTTGGGTTTTGGGATACATACGCTCACTTGAGACATCGGAATTCCTCTCTCGCGCCCTCGCACTGGATGGAAGGACAGTCACGGCTCAGGCCCGGGTACCCCTCCTTTAGCAGCCAGGACCCCACTACCTGGGAAGTCCCACACCCTCCAAAGATAAGCAAAATGTGCCAGAAGCATCTTTCTTTGACTCCGCTGACTCCGGAGAACCCATATCTGTAGCCCTCATAAAGCCCAATTCCCGGTGACCGACCCCCTAACATTAGAAGTGAGAGATGGAGGGAAAACTCAGAAATCAGCGCCATGGATTCACATCAGCCCTAGAAAATGTCCCAGGACAGTGCGTGCTGAGCGCCTCGGCCACAGGTGGTGCTGAAGCTGGCGGGGTGTGGGGATAGTGGAGCCCCTTAAGTTCTCTGCCATCAAACAATCAGAATTCCCCGTTCCCACCCTTCCCCAACTCCCCCTGGGTCGGGTTGGGAGGATCCCCCGCTCAGGACTCGGGAGGAACTGTCCCAGGGTCCCGCGGCCGGGGCTGCGCGCCCCTTCCCCCGACCCTGCGCGCCCCCGGCAGACGCGGGGATTCCTCGACTGCGGTCACGGAGCGGAGACTGCGAGGGCGTCCCCGACAGTGGCCTCAGAGCAAGGGCGACGGGGGCGTCCCGGGCGCGGGGAAGAGGGGGAGAACCGTCCCGGGCGCTAGGGGTGGAGGACGTCCCGG